TTCCAGCCGATGGTGAACCCCCTCTAGCACCTCTCGCCCGGAAATCCGAATGGAGAGGTATTTTACTTCCGGATAATTTTAGTTCTTGCTTTTTCAAAATTTTTGAATTTTTGCTGCCCAAAAACTAATTCGAAAAATGATTTCTCTCAAAGTGTAATTTTCCGACTTGATAGCCGATTTAATGAATGGATCTGTCATGGACAGGCATATGGAGGGTAGACAGACCACGATCTACGAATGGTAAAGAGAACCGAAGACTGATGAGAGGAGCAACGATGAATCAGTCAGGACCTCTTTGCTGCCACCAGGATTCGTATTACGTTTTGGAATAGAGCAGATTTATATTGCTGTAGGCCTATAAAACACCCTTCATTGACCGCAGTCCATAGAGCTCAACGTTTGCTTTGGTGTAATGAAAGAGCCAATCCTATCTCTTCTGACATTCTTGTTCATCTTGTCGTGGAAACCATTCATTTTTCTCAAAGTGGTCCAGAATGATTCAAAGGAAAATACAATTACTAGTTTTGGCACTCGGCCATCATCAGACACATATAAAGTACCTGTAATCAAACAACCATAAACCAACAAATACCACTGATGAAATGAATCTTATCATATGTAGCATATGATAAAATTCCTTCAGTATAGTATAGTATATTCCGTAATATAGGTTGGAATTGAGAAGGGAGATAGTCAGCCGAAAAAGCGGTCCTATAATGGAACATTTTACAATTTGTGACGACTGAACAACCTGAAATAACTCAAATCAAAATCTGGTTGAACATCAGAGGATGCCGAACGAATTGAATAGAGCAATGTCTGCTGACGTCACAACATGGCGCACTCGTCGTTTTCATCAGCTGATCGGGGGACAAACAAAGCTGTGTGTGAATTTTGATTTCATTATTTCTGACCCATTGGTGATTTTGTTGAACTTGTAGATATTATATAAGAAGAATGTGTACATTTTCTTCCAAAATGAGTATCTATTGAGGTATATTACGAGGTATATTAGGTATATTGGAGCTGAACTCAAGTAAATCCAGTAATTTGAAATCGACAAATAAACCAATTTGAGCTCTTCTTTGGACTCATTCACTTCTCTCACAGGATTCATGATGAATTAATTAACAAACATGTCAATAAATAAATGCTCCAGGTATTGTATTTGAGTGGTGAATGTGCAAGAAAGTTACATGTACCCTTATGGAAAATGTGTATGCTTGTCCCCCCAACAGGTGTTCAATGGCCGACAATTTTACGTCATATGACGTCACTGACAATGCTCTATTGAAAATTACTCAAAAATTGGATTGAGGCCATCACATCATGAAGCTGACGGCCTTAAGACAAAGCAAGCATTGAAACATTGAAAATCAAAATCGAACAAACGAACTTCTTGAGCATCAACTAATGAAATGAACAAGTAATCTTATTAACAAATTGCATTAATTGTACTTGTGAATAGAAGTAGGTAATGAGAGAGAGATTAGTAGCCAAGGTTGTGAAGTAGGAACTGAACTAAAAAAGGAGAAGAAATTGTCGCAAAAGTGTCATCGGAATTAAAAAGACAGAAGAAATAACTAATATGCGGAAGTGAGTTACAATGCCGGACTAAGTAATGAGACCAAAATTTTCATGAAAATTTCAGCGTACGAAAAATGTGGTTTCTTTCAAAAACGGATTGGTCGCTAAGCCAGGTGATATCGAGATTGTAGTATTGTGGGTTTATACGACGTATTTTACTATTAGTATTTATTGAAGTCCCAACTATTATAATGACAACCAACAACTTGTCAATCTGACACTTCTTACATGAGCTTCTCTCATCTCATATACAAGATGTATTTCAGATACAATAGGCCCATACTACATCCGCCTTTTAGAAATAACTATTGAACTAAATTATAGCAAATAGAACAGTATATAAGTTAAATATAATCGTTCAAATATTTCGGGTCCATCCGTTCACGTTTGGGTCTTTCTCTTTCGGATACTTGGTATCCTCTAATATCTTGAAGCTGGCATGTTTCGTCGTTTTTATCATCTGATTTTGAAGTTGACTGTTTCGACAAAACTTGTAAATGTCTACTATTTCTTCTAACTGTACTATCTCTATATGTTCTAACTCGGTAAGATTTTGGTTCATCTAACTTTTGTTCTATTACTCCTTCTCTCTGCATAGGGACAGGAGGTAGGTATTGGAATTTTCTTTTAAACTTCTGGAGATTATATTATATTATAATAGTTTCTTCTCTAGTGTCGGTTTTCTATCTCGTAGTGATCTGCCATACAGGAGTTGGGTATGCGATGCACCACAACTCAAAGGGGTATTTATGTATGATAATAACGCTAGATCCGTATCTGCAGAGTTTTTCTTAAAGATCCTTCTGATTAACTTCACAGCAGACTCTGCTTGGCCATTCGACTGCTGATACTCTATGGACTTGAGCTTATTCATTTGAAGCCATACTCAATAGCGAATTCCTTGAATTCGTAGCAAGCAAATTGTTTTTCATTATCGCTTCTCACTATATTCGGTATATCGTGATGAGAAAATATTCGTTTGAAATTCTTGATAATAGAGGCACTTGGTATTTTACTTAATTTTCTTACTTCCGGATTGCGAAAGCTATACAAAAGACTAGTATCAAATCATGGATGCAAACCAAATCTCAAGAATGGTGGAACAAATCGCCAGGAATGAGACAGGCAAAAGAGTTTATTAAAAAACCATCGCCAACATTCACAGAATATCTACTAAGCCAGAAACGAAGTTCAACTAGAATACTAGTGGGACTTCTCACAGGGCATTGTAGGCTCAACAAACACATGAGTACGATAGGTCTGACTGAAGAACTGCTGTGCAGGTTCTGTCAGGAAGAGGAGGAAACAGCAGTACACATACTTTGCCACTGTGAGGGCTTGTCAAGACTAAGGTTCCTTACGCTGGGTGAGGAAAAACCAGAAGCCCAGAGATACACAGGGGATCTGAAAGCTAGCCTATGGAGTCTCATAGAGAAGACGGGGCTAGCCGAAGAACTCTAATCGATTTTGAGGGCAGACACAATAGATCTGAAAAGGTCGCGGTGTGGAGGCAGATAGCCCGAAGGCCCCATTCTAAATCTAATCTAATCTAATCTACTTCCGGATACTTTGAGTAATAATCTTGTACGACTAAGTACAAGCCTTTGTATCTTTGTATCTGCTCCAATCACAGACCAAGGTCTTGTTGGTACTTCAATTGATATCATCGGTTCAACTTGTCGAGGTTGATTTTCTCAAACATATTTCACAAGATGTAACAATGTCTTCAACTTGCTGATTTATCAATGGCCACCAAATTGTTTCTTTAACTCTTCGAATACAACGATCAAGTCCAAAATGTCCATCGTGAATACGAACTAGACATTGTTTTCTCAATGATTTAGGAATAAGAAGTCGGTCACCATAACACAAGAGTTCATTAATTATTGTTAGCTCTTTTCGATATTTATAATCTTCTTCTTATCAGGCCAACCTTCCAATACGTATTCCTTGATTTGTTGACACTGCAATACTTTGTTGTTCATGATGTATTTTCTCTGTGGACAAAATATCTTGAGAAATTTCAGACCAAATCGCATTTACCTAAACCTTGGTATCACTGAATATGACATCGTCATCCATTGAACCTTCTAATATGGGCGCTCTGGACAGCGCATCTGGTCGTTACCACCGGTGGTAACGATCTGGTACATAAAATGTATTTCCTGGGACATAATTTATAGTATAATTGAATTTCAGCAATCTCATTCGGAAACGTTGCAATCGTGTAGATAGTTTATTTATTTCTTTCGATGCAAGAATAACAGCTAGCGGTTTATGATCGGTAAAAATCTCGAAATTTGACCTTGAGAAAAATTGCTCAAATCTCTCGCACGCCCACGTTACAGCTAATGCCTCTTTCTGAGCATACCTTTTCTGGCTGTCACTCAGTGACTTAGAACAATAATAAACTGTTCCTCATCATCAGCTGGAATACGAGTTTTCTGAGAAGTTGAATATTTAGCTAAAATAGGATATGAAGCTATCTCAGATTTCAATCGGTCAAAGTCTTTTTGGGGTACACTTGTCCACAAGAACTCATGATTGATTTTTAGTAGTTCTCAAATCGACTGAGCCTTTGTTGCTGAATCTTTCACGAACTTTGCACATAATTCACCAGGCCCAGAAAGTTACCAATATCTGTTTTATTTCGAGGCGCTTGGTGGTGGATAATAGCCTCTGTACTTTTAGGATCGACTTTGATACCATCATCTGGAGCATATCATATACCCAAGACATCTTGTTTCAGTTGTTTGAAATTCTCATTTTTTCTATTCAGTGTGAATCCACAATTTGCTAAATAGCTAAGTACTTTATGCACGTTTTCATTATGCTCTCTGATATTTCGACTTGTTACGAGGACATCGTCGGCATAGATGAGTACACAGTCCAAATTCTAATTTGGTGAATACTCTGGCATATCTCAACTTCGCTTAAGGTTCCCAAACCGAGGACAGCTGGTATCTTTCACGAACAACAAACTTGTTCAGCTTAGTATAGTCACTATAAACGCGTACCCCACAGTCTTTTTTCGGAACAAAAACCATTGGAGAGCACCACTCTGTAGCTTCATCCATTTTTTTCTATACCATTCTCATTTACAATCTTCGAAAGTTCTTCTTCGACTTGCTTTTGTAGAGGTGAAGGAACTCTTCTGGGAGTGGTACAAACGTAAGGTGAAGCATCATCCGTCAGACATATTTTATGTTCGACATTTTTCCCAAACCTTCGAATAATTCAAGATTTCCTTCTTGAAATCTTCACATGTATCCGCAGATACATTCTGGATGATTTCATCAATACTGCAATACAATTGACTGTTTCTCCAGGTGATCAATCCTAACCCAGTCAATGCTGGACGCCCCCCCCCCCAAAGATTTTCTTTGATATTAACAACATAACTCCTTATCTTTTTGATCTTGCCATGCAACGAGACTGGAATTTCAACTTGACCAAATATCTGTAACTCGCAGTGTTTGCCTGTCCCAGGTCCAACCAGTTTAATTTTGGTATTTTCTAATTCATAAAAATTCTTTAACTTTGTTTCGTAGTCTCTCAGTGAGAGAACTGTCTCATCTGCGCCGGTATCTAGTTTGAATTTTATTTTTTCATTCCCAATCTTTAATTTCACCTTCCATGGACTGTTTTCTTTCACTCTGTATATATTTCTGATTTCTTCTATTGTTCCGCAACTGGATTCGTCGGAAGGTGACGACTCTTCGTCTACAATTTTATTGACATTTTTGGTACGACATTGTATTGCATAGTGTCCTACAATTTTACACTTTTTGCATCTTACTTTGTTAGCTGTATATTTGAATCTTGAATGGTTAGGGCTTTTACCACATTTTGGACAGGTTTTTTCCTCCTCTTCCACCTTATTTGAGTGTTCATTTTCTTCCCATTCATCTTTTCCTCTTGTTCCTCTTTGCATAACTCGTCCGATATCATTTTCCTTCTTTCCTCTCAACTCTCTGTTTTCCTCTTTGATTCGCTCGCTCTGTGTGATTTTTTCGATTGCTTTATCTAAAGTTAATCCACAATCCATTTGTAATTTGTATGGCTTCGCTCAATCTGGCGTATCTGATTCCAACTACCAAACGATCTCTGATTAATTCGTCTTCGAGAATGCAAAAATCGCAACTTCTTGCAAGAAACATCAGGTCACTAATGTAATCTTGAGCAGCCTCGCCTTCTTTTTGAGATCGCAAATTGAACTTTGCTCTGGCATACACAATGTTTCTCGTGCCAAATATATCTTTTATTTCTTTGTAAGTGGTGAAGTCGGTCTCTTTTTTCTTGAGAGTTTCCAATAATTTGGAAACTTTTGGGCCCATATATAACAACAAATTGTTGAGTTGAACTTTTTCCTCGGTTTCCTCTAACTGAGCTGCTAGCCTGTACCTTTCATAGTGTTGAATCCATGCTGGCCACTCATCCTTCTCGAATAAAAATACTTCAGGCGAAGGAACTGCACTTAGGAGAGCTTGAGGCTGATTTTGTCCTTGAATCAAGAACCGTTGCATCTGACCAAGTTGTACTCTCAAAACTTCAATTTCTTGTTCTATTTTTCTTGCTCGTAATTTCAATTCTCATGCACGCTGATAATTTTTGGCTATCAATTAGTGATCCACACTTTCAGTCAAGACCTCCAATCACCTGACACCATGTAGTATTGTGGGTTTATCTATATACGATGTATTTTACTATTAGTATTTATTGAAGTCTCAACTATTATAATGACAACCAACAACTTGTCAATCTGACACTTCTTACATGACCTTCTCTCATCTCATATACAGGATGTGTTTCACATACAATAGAGGCCTATACTACAGAGATTATAGATGCATTTCTGGATTTATAGATTTTCCAGAAGATTAAGCCGTGGACCTTTATTACAAACGTGAATGATCTCCACATTGGAGTTGACATTGAAAGAATGATTCGAATCAATAATGTGGTTAGCAAATGAAGAAGTTGGGTTCAAACTGGTTGAATTTAAAAATTTGTGGATTCTTGTTCTAAGCCAAGTTTAAGACGCCTCAAAAGTAGTATATTTGCTTGGCCCATGTAGCAGTAATAGATGTGGCAACACTGTATTTGCCTATTCGGATAATTACGTGAAATATATTTCACGATGGGAATTCACACATCTGAAACGTGAAAGACACCACTTACATTGTCGTATCTAGGACATCCAGACATTGGAAAACGGAATAAAGTAAATGGTTTCATTCATATTCCAATTTTTGTTGGAGTTTGGAGAAGTATTGTATTCGATTGTGTGGCCCCTATTGATGACGTGCCGTAACTGACGAAGTTGACGAATTCTTTGACATCTAGAAAATGTTTGTGAACTACGCTAGATTTTGCTAGCTAGCTACCGCGGAACGTCCCTCTTAAAAGAAAACAGAAGAAAGGGTGGTCATTGGCGTCGCCACTGAAGGGCGAGGGGTAGCTGTGCCCCTCCCCTCTTCAGTCTCGTGGCTGATGAATTGATTACATTATATCCACTAATACCGATACATCAAATGTGCCGGATAGAGAATTTCCAAAATTATTTATTGAATATAATAATTATTTGAGATATTATTAAACCTTTTTAGAATATATTCGACTTCTTGACAGCTGAAGCTACTTGAAACATGTAAAATCATAGGCTATCGAGGACTTTGAAATTCGTTATAGGGGCTGGATATTGATTCTGAACGGTACACTTCACATAGAAACAGTTTTTTCTGACTGAAAATATGTTTAAAATTAAATTTTCGTCGAGGAGTTCTAAGCTAGGGACACTTTTAGTGTTTTTCAACTTTTACATCCTGTATATCGTTGAAACTGCTTGAAATGCTTGATATAGCGTATGAGTACAAATTCTCATGAATCACAATTTCATGGTCTTCATATATGAAAGTGATGTAATATAAAAAATATAATGTATGTGTGTGTTCGGTCCGGGACCTGAAGCAATCTTCAAAACATCCTCTGGGATCAGGATATTGCCCCCAAAATGAATATCCATTGCTGCCACTACTACTGAGCATTCAGTGAAGATGTGAGTAGAAGTCTCTTCATCCTCTAAGCATCATCTGCATTCAGGATCCTCCACAATTCTAATCGTGCTGATATGCTTGTTAAAGTGAAGTCAGAAGCCCCTCCACCAGTTTCAACTCCTTCCTGTTCAAAGCCAAGAGGGCATTGGTCTGTCCTCGTGACGGATTTTCTATGTGGAATTTGGACTGCCGCATTCCAGGAGCCTCTCCCCAGATGTGCTGAAACTTTTTCATCAGGATTTCCTCCATACTCAAGTTGCTCCAGGATCGAGAGACCCCAAGACTGGCTCTGGACCAATCACTAAGCTCTTTGTCCCCTCTCGGTACCAGGTACCCCTGAGTGCCCAGGGACCCACAGAAACCGTACTTCATCCATTGCCGAGAGCCTTTGTGTGCACTCTGACACCAAGCAGGAGGTCACTTTATACGAGGTGAGTGGCTTGATCTCTGCCTGGCTGTCAGTGCATATGGTGATTTGCTGGCTGCGATAGCCCCTTTCGATATTCCCTTGAAGACAGGTGAGTATTGCGAATACTGCAGCCTAAAAAATCGTGGCATATTTCCCAATGGTATAGTAATAATGGTCCTGCACCTGCGCGTTCTTCCATCCTGGAGCCATCTGTATACCAGATGATAATCTTGGTGGGTATAATGCAGTGCCCATTCTGTTACCAGTGTATCCTTGAAGGAATTTTGACTGGGGGCATATTCCTGAATCGAAAGATCAGTGTTATTCCAACCTCTTTCATACTGCGTGAGCAGTATTCCACTGTAATTTGCTTCCAGAGGCGAGAGTGTCCGTAAGTAATTTCGCTCCCCCACTGGTTACAGCTTTGTAAGCAAACGGCGGCCTTTATAGCCTCTTGTTTTGTATATAGCTCCAGAGGAGGCAGTCAAATCAGAGTCTCTAGCGCCCTTGTCGGCTCCATCCTCATTGGCCCTGTTATAGATATCATGCTGGCCAGTCGTTGTACTCTGTCGAGCTAAATCCTCGACTTGCCTGTCAGTAGTGTCAGTGTGTCAATATGTGGAAGCATATCTGATATGTTGAATACATAAAATACAGCAAGATAAGTAGCTGGACATAGCCGTCGAAAAACCCAACATTCAATTTAAAGACATTTGACTTTGTTAAGAATACATTTTTCACCTGCGGAACCAGTGGCTTATTCACATAGTTCATTGGGCTCAGAGATTAGGGCTAAATAGAAATTCCCGCTTACCCTCTATGGTAATTTTCTGGCGGCGCCTAATAACTTCCTCGTGCTAACTTTGTGAATATATACCTTATTGATTGATTGAAATTATTGTTTATAATCTCAATCAGATTTAATTTGTCTGCTCATAAGCTTGTATAGTGTAATTGTGCGAAAAAAAGTAGGTTCTCAAAAATTAGAATATTCCATTCTCATTTCTGATAATTTCTCCGACCGGCTGTGTAATGGTGATCAAGGATGTTTTTTCCTGGATACATACTGGAGTTCTTCTTTCTTTATCAATGCTCACATTGAAATTTGATACTACTGACGGTGGATCGGTGGAAGTATCTACATTCATTGCCACTTAATGAAGAAGACGCTCAAGAACGCGAAATTTATAGCATAACAACACCATCGGGTTTATGTGATATAATAAATTACCAATAGTTAACCATACATCACGAAGAGAACCCAACAATAAAATAAATACGAAAACAGCGGTATCTTTGTGATACTAAACATGGCTATTCTTCATAAGGAAAAAACTTCGATGGTAAATAGCATCATAAAATGCCAGTAATTCGACTGTTACGGTTCGACAGATTGCTTTCGTAGAGTCGGTATACGACATTTATTCTACTGTTAGGAAGAAGAACAATGTCATGAAGACGAAAAAAAAAATCGACCGTGGAGACGTCGGAATATTTGCGAAATGCTGAAAGCTGATAGATGACGGTTTCCAAATGAGCTGAAGATTCAATGAATTATTGAGAATAGCAATTCGATAATTTAAATGATTCTCCTACAAAGTCTTACATCGAATGAGATTCATGATTAAATATAGAAATATAAATATTTTCACGTCCCCTACGAAAAAACAAAAAACAAAAACAAACTCAAGGTAAGATTCAAACCGGAAACTAGCCAATATCGAAGGATATTCGAAATTCGTGTGCATTTACCTCGGCTATTCAAGACAGATATTCATTGTCACTATATGGAGTAGATGATTCTGAATTCATTTGGATGAAAATATATATCAAATGACAATCTATGAGAAATTACTGATACAACAGTGAAATTACCATTCCGTCCGCTTTATGGATTAATCGCAGGTAATAATGGTGTTTAATACAAGATATCGTTGCGCATATTATACAGACCATATTGAAAGTACGTAGAAAGATAAAGAGAAGGGACATAATATAACTTTTGGATCGTCATATCACATCCATTCATTGTGCATCCATCATCAAAGAACATGTCGCACATGAACTGAAATAATAGTATATATTATTTAACGATCGGTAATGTAGGAAATATATCTCACGCAGATGGAGAAAAAATAATTATATGAAGGCTGTTTTCAATAACCCCGTATGTTATACCATTTAGGAATCTGTATTGATTGGGCAACTTTCTCTAATAGTTGGTTATCTTCGTGGGGTAGTTTTCAAATCTGACAGTGGCATTAAAACATCAAACGAATTCAATATTTCATTCGACGAAACTTAAGGAACACAACATTTTTCTCAATCGACAGAAAGTGAAACCCATGCCATACAGATGCGAGTGAAATTTGTGACAGAACAAATCACAAATGTGACATAGTTTTTTGTTCTTTTTTTGTATATGGAAATGAAATAAACATTCATATCTTTTGAACCATCAACAATTGGATAACCACATATAACGTAAGTTTGAGTGGAAATGATCCCCCCACCACCCCACTTCTCTCGATCCATGACTTATGGGACACCCTGTATAGATACGTATAAACGAATACTAAAGAGAGTGTTCCTTTCCCTAATGCCGACTGATTTCGATTTAGCCAGGTTAACGCAATGACACCTACAGACCAGTTCCGAGGTTTCTGCCTCCCATCAGTAAAGGATAGTTTCCAGCTAGCAGTTTGAAGACCACGGGCTATGCGTAACCCGGCCCATCAAAATCCAATCAGCAATATTTGTAGTCTCAGAGGAGTCTTCCATGGGCCACATGGGTTTATCGCCATCTATACTAGAAGGAAAGAAACACTCCAAAA